GAGAAGGAGAAGGGACTTACATGTGAAACAAGCCTGTTCCCTAACTTGAATTAATAATGTGTGTGTGTGTGTGTGTGTGTGTGTGTGTGTGTGTGTGTGTATTATTATATATATTATTCCCATTCCTGGGGTCTATTTAACCCTTAGAGTCCTTCATGATTCCTCACCTTCAAAGACAGACTTTACCTCAGAGTAAAGGGTTGGGAAAAGATTTTCCAATCAAATGGACCTAAGAAGCAAGCTGGTGTAGCTATCCTGGTATCTTAACAAATTAGACTTCAAACTAAAGTTAATCACCTCCCCCGCGAGCCCCCTCCCTTCCCCACGCTCCGTCCCCCCTGCCCGCCTTCTCCCGCAGCCGCCTTCCACAGGCCGTTTCCACCGAGGAAAAGGAATCGTATCATATGTCCGCTATCCAGAACCTCCACTCTTTCGAGCCCTTTGCTGATGCAAGCAAGGGTGATGACCTGCTTCCTGCTGGCACTGAGGACTATGTGCATATAAGAATTCAACAGAGAAAAGGCAGAAATACCCTTACCACTGTCCAAGGGATCACTGATGATTACGATAAAAAGAAACTAGTGAAGGCGTTTAAGAAGAAATTTGCCTGCAATGGTACTGTAATTGAGCATCCAGAAAATGGAGAAGTAATTCAGCTACAGGGTGACCGGCACAAGAACATATGCCAGTTCCTGATAGAGATTGGACTGGCTAAGGACGACCAGCTGAAGGTTCATGGGTTTTAAGTGCTTGTGACTCTCTGAAGCTTAAGTGAGGATTTCCTTGCAATGAGTAGAATTTACCTCCTGTCCCTTGTCACAAGTTTAAAAACCTCACAGCTTGTATAATGTAACCATTTGGGGTCCGCTTTTAACTTGGACTAGTGTAACTCCTTCATGCAATAAACTGAAAAGAGCCAAAAAAAAAAAAAAAAAAAAAAAAACCCACACACTAATAGTGGGAGATTTCAAGACTCCACTCTCACCACTGGACAGGACCAACAGATAGAAACTTAACAACAAAATAACTAGCAGAAGTTATGACACAATTGGGTTCAACAGACATCAATAGAACATTCCACCCAAACACAAAAGAATACACCTTCTCAGCGCCACATGGAACCTTCTCCAAAATCAACCACACACATGGCAACAAAGCAAACCTCAACAGACAAAAAAAAATTGGAATGACCCACTGTATCTTATTGGATCACCATGGTTTAAAGTTAGAATTCAACAAAAACACGAAATGCAGAAACCCTACAAATTCGTGGAAATGGAACAATGCTCAATTGCATCACTCCTGGGTCAAGAAAGAAATAAAGAAATTAAAGACTTCCTAGAATTCAATGAAAATGAAATCACAATATACCCAAACTTATGGGACACTCTGAAAGCTGTGCTAAAAGGAAAGGTCACAGCACTAAGTGCCCACACGAAGACACTGAAGAATAGTCACACTAGAGAATTAACAGCACAACTGAAAACTCTAGAACACAAAGAAGCAAATTCACCCAGGAGGAGTAGACGTCAGGAAATAATCAAATTGAGGGCTGAAACAAAGAAAACAATACAAAGAATCAATGAAACACAAGTTGTTTCTTCTAGAAAAAAAAAATTGGACAAACCTTTATCCAAAATATCCAAAAAGCAGAAAGAGAACTTGCAAATTAACAAAATCAGAAACCAAAATGGGGACATGACAACAGGCACTGAGGAAATCCAGAGATTAATCAGGTAATATTTTGAAACCTGTACTCTATAAAATTTGAAAATTTAAAGGAAATGGACAGTTTTCTGGATAGATATCACTTACCAAAATTAAATCAAGAACAGATAAGCAATTTAAATAGACCTATAACCCCTAATGAAACAGAAGCAGTCATCAAAAGTCTCCCAACCAAAAAAATCCCAGGGCCAGATGGTTTCATTGTAGAATTCTACAAGAAATTCAAATAAGAGCTAATATCAATACTCTCAAAGTGTTCGGCACAATGGAAGCAGAAGGCTCATTGCCAAACTCTTTTTACGAGGCTACAATTACCTTGGTACCCAAACCAGACAAAGACAAAACTAAAAAAGAGAACTACAGACCAATATTCCTCATGGACACTGATGCAAAATTACTCAACAAAATAATGGCAAAATGACTCCAAGAACACATCAGAAAAATCATCCATTATGAGCAAGTAGGTTTCATCCCAGGGATGCAGGGATGGTTCAACATATGAATATCTATCAATGTAATCCACCAAACAAACTGAAAAAGAAAAAACACATGATCATCTCACTAGATGCTGAAAAAGCCTTTGACAAAATCCAACATCCCTTCATGATAAAGATCTTGGAGAGAACAGGAATAATAGGAACATATCTAAACATGATAAACGCAATATACACCAAACCAATAGCCAACATCAAACTAAATGGAGAAAAACTCAACACGATTCCTCTAAAATCAGTAACAAGACACATCTCTTCAATATTGTACTTGAAGTTCCAGCTAGAGCAATAAGACAACAAAAGAAGATCAAGGGGATACAAACTGGAAAGGAAGAAGTCAAACTTTCACTATTTGCAGATGATATGATAGTTTACATAAGTGACCTGAAAAAACTCTTACCAGGGAACTCCTACAGCTTATAAACACCTTCAGCAAAGTGACAGGATACAAGATTAACTCAAAAATATCAGTAGCCCTACTATACACAGAGAATAAATAGGCTGAGAAAGAAATCAGAGAAACATCACCCTTAAAATAACCACAAAAAAAACATAAAATATCTTGGGTAACTCTAAACAAACAAGTGAAAGACCTGTATGAGAAGAACTTTGAGACTCTAAAGAAAGAAATTAAAGAAGATACCAGAAAATGGAAAGATCTCCCATGCCCTTGGAGAGGTAGGATCAACATAGTAAAAATGGCAACCTTACCAAAAGCAATCTATAGATTCAGTATAATCCCCCTCAAAATCCCAGCACAATTCTTGACAGACCTTGAAAGAACAATGATGGGGGAGGTCCTTCTGTGTATATGTTTATCTTACAGGTTGTTGAATAAAGTACTGTTGGCCAATAAGGAAGCAAGTTAGGTGGGACTAAGAGTCGAGGAGGATTCTGGAAAATGTCATAAAGAGAAGTCTCGTGATCCAGGCAGGAAGTGACACAGCATGCAGACTCAGAATATAAGCAGGGACAAACAGGAAATCGCTCTCTTCCTCCTCCTCTCTTCTCTGCAGAGTTACCATGTGATTGCCAGGAAGAGGGGACACATATGGCCGGCGTCGTCAAATAAATAAGTCTTTATAAATATATAGATTAATGGCTATGGTTGACACTTAAGACAGAGCAAGCATATAAGAAATCCTAGTCATTGGCTTGCAGCATTGTAAATAATATTAATCTCTGTGTATAATTTTGGGCGCCCACATGGCGACAGGGCTCAGGCAGCTAGCAGAAAGAGTTATCCTTAAAGAACAATACTCAATTTTATATGGGAAAGCAAAAACCTAGGATAGGCAAAACAACCCTGTACAATAAAGGAATTTCTGGAGGCATTACCATCCCAGATTTCAAGTTCTATTATAGAGCTATAGTCCTGAAAACAGCTTGGTATTGGCACAAAAACAGACAGGTAGACCAATGGAATCAAACTGAAAACCCTGATTTTAACCCACACACCTACAAACACCGGATTTTTGAAAAAGAAGCGAAAATTATACAATAGAAAAAAGAAATCATGGACAACAAAGGGTGGTGGCATAACTGGATACTGGCATGCAGAAGACTGCAGATAGATCCATATCTATCCCCATGCACAAAACTTAAGTCCAAATGGACCTCAACATAAATCCAGCCACACTGAACCTCTTAGAAGAGAAAGTGGGAAGTGCCCTTGAACATATTGGTATAGGACACCGCTTCCTGAACAGTAGCACAGACACTGAGATCAACAATTAATAAATGGGACCTCCTGAAACTGAGAAGCTTCTGTAAGGCAAAGGACACAGTCAACAAGACAAAACGGCATCCCACCGAATGGGAAAGATATTCACCAACCCCACATCTGACAGAGGGCTGATCTCCTAAATTTACAAAGAACTCAAGAAGCTAGTCTCCAAAACACCTAATAATCAAATTAAAAAGTGGAGTACAGAACTACGTAGAGAATTCTCAATAAAGGAGTCTAAAATGGCTGACAGACACTTAAGAAAGTGTTCAACATCCTAAGCCATCAGGGAAATGCAAATCAAAACAACTCTGAGATACCATTTTATACCTGTCAGAATGGCTAAAATCAAAAACACCTAAGACAGTTTATGCTGGAGAGGATGTGGAGAAAGGGGAACACTTCTCCATTGCTGGTGGAAGTGCCAACTCGGACAGCCACTTTGGAGATCAGTATGGTGGTTTCTCAGGAGAATGGGAATTAGTCTACCTCAAGATCCAACATTTCCAATCTTAGGCATATACCCAAAGGATGCACATTCATACCACAAGGACATCAGTTCAAGTATGTTCAGAGCAGCATTATTTGTAATAGCCAGAACCTGGAAGCAATCTCGATGCCCCTCAACTAAAGAATGGATAAAGAAAATGTGGTACATTTACACAATGGAATACTACTCAGTGGAAAAACAAACAATAAAATCCGTAATTCTCAGGCAAATGGATAGAACTAGAAGAAACCATCCTGAGTGAGGTAACCCAGACACAGAATACCAAACATGATATGTACTGACTCATATATGGATTTTAGACATAGGGCAAAGGATTACTAGTCTATAATCCACATCTCCAGAGAAGCTAGGAAACAAGGAGAACCCTAAGAAAGTCATACATGGTCCCCCGGAGAAGGGGAAAGGGACAAGATCTTCTGAGCAAATTAAGAACCTGTGGGGAGGAGTGAGAAAAGAAGAAAGAGGAGGGGATAAAAGGAGCAGGAGGAGAACATGAGGAATCAGGAAGCAGGAGCAGAGATTCACAGCTAAGCACTGAGCCAAACTCCTGGAATCCAGTTATAGAGAGGGAGAAGAGATGAGCAAAGGGGTCAAGACCATGCTGGGGAAACCCACAGCTGATGTGAGAAAGTGGAAACTCATGGACCCCAGTCTGACAGCTGGGGAACCAGCATAGGACCAAACCAAGCCTCCTGAATGTGGGTGTCAGTTAGGAGGCCTGGGCCAGCAGTCTATGGGACCTCTGAGAGTGGAAGCAGTATTTAACCCTAGTATACAAATGGACTTTGGGAGCCCATTCCCTATAGAGGGATACTCTCTCAACCTAGATACACAGTGGAGGGCCTAGGCCCTGCCCCAAATGATGTGACAGACTATATGATCCCCCAAGGACAGCCTCACCCTCCATGTGGAGTGGAAGGGGGATGGAATGGGGGAGGGAACTGGAATTGATATGTAAAATAAGATTGTTTTTAAGTTATATAAAAATATATTCAAAAAATAAAATCCAACTGGAAATAATAATTAATTAATTGTCGGGCAGTGGTGGCGCACACCTTTAGTCCCACCACTCAGGAGGCAGAAGCAGGTGGATCTCTGAGAGTTCGAGGTCATCCTGGTCTATAAAAGGTAGTTCCAGGGCAGGCTCCAAAGCTACACAGAGAAACCCTGTCTTGAAAAACTAAAATAAATAAGAGTAAACACCAATGACCTGACCTCTGGCCTCCAAGTGTATACACACACACACACACACACACACACACACACACACACACACACACACACACACGGGAGGGGGGAGAACTATATTAAGAAGAATGGCTGGGACATAATAAGGACTTAAAAGACAGCTATCTTTATTACTTTGCTATTAATGTAAGAATATAATAGTCATTTTAGGTGAGGTCTCGCAAGAATATTTTAATCTAAAATAAAGCTTGACTCTGAAAAGAGCTCCCACATGCTAGGTATTATGGGTGAGTGCT